GGTCAGTGCCGAGCTGCACTCTGTGAGTTGATACAATGCCCATCACAACAGACCCTGAGCATCTCCCCAGATGATCATCACCCTTCAGCCGGAGCAGCTAGGAATTATTTTGATGCACTTTTTCCTTGCTGTTGCTAAGCTATTCTCACTGCTACTGTCATTCTTGGAAGCCAGAGGCAAAGACCAGGACTCCCCTCCCAGAGCCTGGCAGACAAAAGCAGGAGCTTTACAATAGCAGGACAACAAAAGGAGAATGAGAAGACCTCGTGGTTAAACCACGATAATGTCGCGGTGGTCAGCAGTCTGCAAGGGGTTTGTTGGCACCAGAAATTTTTTGAATGATGAGGCGTTTGGCGATGAGGCTTGGCTGAATCATTTCCTGCAGGAGTAAGTCCAGTAGTGGACAGCAGCTGAGAAATTTAGGTTCTTTCTGTTTTAGGTCAGTGCTGCCAGGATGCTGCTCCTCGAGAGGGACCACACAGCTGCAGAGGAGAGGCTACATCCTCAGGACATTTTGCTCAATCCCACGCTCCCTGAGGAACATGAGCATCATCCCCAGCCTCTGGAAACAGGGTATGCTTGAGGAGATCCCAGAACATGAATTCATCCTGCAAAGTGAGACATGAAGAGGTTCTAGGAGTGATCCCCAAAGAGGAGAGGAGCAGCAGTTCCCATTCACAACCTGTCACATATAAGAGAGCTATGAGGAATGGAATGGAATGGAATGGAATGGAATAGAATAGAATAGAATAGAATAGAATAGAATAGAATAGAATAGAATAGGAGTATTTCAGTTGGAAGTGACCTACAATGACCACCTAGTCCAGCTGCCAATCCACACAGAGTCAGGAGGTGCCTGGGCTGAGGAAGGCTCACAGAGGTGTGGGGTAAAAACTCAGTGCCCTGAGAAAGCACTGCCAGAAAATCAGATAGTCAGATTAATTCTCTCCATTTGTGTCTACTGGTGAAGGTTAAAGTAATTTCTGTGCATGATTTTGCATGTCTTCCTTCCTTCCTTCCTTCCTTCCTTCCTTCCTTCCTTCCTTCCTTCCTTCCTTCCTTCCTTCCTTCCTTCCTTGCTTCCTTCCTTCCTTCCCCTCCTTCCCCTCCTTCCCCTCCTTCCCCTCCTTCCCCTCCTTCCCCTCCTTCCCCTCCTTCCTTCCCTTCCTTGCTTCCTTCCCGCCTTCATCATGTTTATACCACAAAACCAGGGACAAACACACCAATTTCCATGCCAAGCATGCAATTTTCTAATAAAACTTTCTAAGTTTTTGCAGATCCTTCGACTTTTTCCTTTCCTTTTGACCATGAGTATCTACAAATCATGTGTGCTCCCTTCACCTTAGGGGTGGGACACTATACTCCTTTGATTTTTGCCCATTGTTGGCCCACACCTTTTTCTTTCACCCTGGTGCTTTGTCCTTGCTTTCTTCTGTGAATTTGGAGAGAAAGAGGAGCCACAGGGCTGGGGAAGCGGATGGAGAAAGAGAGCAGGAAAATCATGTGCCCCCAGAGCATGATCTCTTCTTACAGTGTGGTGAGACAGCAGCAGTATAAAGTGAGATAACTTGTCACACAGCAGCAATTGGTAAATAAACAAGTAATAAAAAAGTATAAACGAATGGTAAATGTTTGAGTTCAAAGTGACTTATGATACTGCAGAAGGTGGTGGGCTGCAGGTCGGGCAATGCCCTTCTGGAAGCATCTTGTGCCTGTGCACTCGTGCCAGAGGGCCCAAGCAGCGAAGTTCTGGGGGTTCACACGGGTGGAGATGGAAAGCAGAGACCCCACAGGCGTGTGGGACCGCAGCATGAGGGGTCAGCACAGGTGAGTCCCCCTTCCCAAACACCCCCAGCTCCCCACGCGGGGCTGCATGTCCCCTGTACCCCTGGGGGTGCCAGCGCGGGGCACTCCCTGTGGCTGCCACCATCCCCCTGACATGTCCCCTGTGTCCCTCGGCGTGCCAGCCCGGGGCACTCCCTGTGGCTGCCACCAACCCCACCCCATGTCCCCTGTGTCCCTCGATGTGCCAGTGCTGGGCACCCCCTGTGGCTCTTACATCCCCCCCATGTCCCCTGTGTCCCTCGGCGTGCCAGCCCGGGGCACTCCCTGTGGCTGCCACCAACCCCACCCCATGTCCCCTGTGTCCCTCGATGTGCCAGTGCTGGGCACCCCCTGTGGCTCTTACATCCCCCCCATGTCCCCTGTGTCCCTCGGGGTGCCAGCTCTGGGGTCTCCCTGTGGTTCCCACCAATGTCCCCCGTGTTCCCCGTGTCCCTGGGGGTGCCAGCCCTGGGGATCCCCTGTATCTCCCACCAATGTCCCCCGTGTCCCTGGGGGTGCCAGCCCTGGGGACCCCCTGTATCTCCCACCAATGTTCCCCGTGTCCCTGGGGGTGCCGGCCCTGGGGATCCCCTGTATCTCGCACCAATGTCCCCCGTGTCCCTGGGGGTGCCAGCCCTGGGGATCCCCTGTATCTCGCACCAATGTCCCCCGTGTCCCTGGGGGTGCCAGCCCGGGGGACCCCCGCGGACCCTCCCACGCGGGGCGTGGCCTCCCATTCATCCCACCCGTGACGTCACGGGAGGCGTGACCAATCGGAGCGGCGGGCTGGCCCCGCCCCCCGCGCCGCGGTTAAAGCGGCGCCGCCGCCGCCGCGCGTCCGTCGTGCGGGCGTGTGTCCGTCCATTCATCCGTGCCGCTGCAGCGCTCCGGCCGCCCGTGCTCCCGAGCCATGCGGCGGCTCTTCCTCCTGCTCTGCGGCGCCGTGTCCTGCTGCGCCGCGGCCGGAGGTGGGTGAGCGCGGTGCCGCGCGGGACCGGGGCAGCCGCGGGGCGGGCTCGGCCCCCGGCGGGGCAGGCGGGCTCCGGGGCGCTTTGCTGACCCTTCTCTCCCGCCGGCTCGCAGATGGCAGCGCGGAGCGTGTGCCGGCGCAGAAGGCGCGGGTGAAGTTCGGTGTGCGCTCCTCGCCGGACGCCGGGGAGGATGGCTGCGCGCTCGCCATCGGGCAGCAGCAGTGCTTGGAGGACTGCAAGTTCAACGTGACAGCTAAAACCTTCTTCATCATTCACGGCTGGACGGTAAGTGTGAAGAATCCCGGGCGATGCTTGGTCTGCCCACTCACAGAGGGCAAACCGCCCTGCAAAGGGGCTGTGTCTCCAGAACATTTATTTTCAGGAATTTCTGTGACTGACTCATCCCTGAAGGTGTTCAAGGCCGGGCTGGATGGCACCTTGAACCACCTGGTCTAGTGGAAGATGTCTCTGTCGATGGCAGGGGAGTTCAAACTAGACAATCTTTAAGGTCCTTTCCTACCCAAACCATTTTAGAATTCTATGAATATAGGAATTTGGGAAAACTTCTCATGTTCTGAGCACAATGGTCTCTTAAAAGATGCACCTCTATTGAGATCTCTGGAGCAAAGTGTTTCAGTCTTAGAAACTCTGAAATCACCCATCTCATTCATAACTGCTCAAGATCACTTCCTAGCTGTACAATGTGAACATGGCACTAAAATCCAGCTGACTGACCACTATGAATGTGACACTTGACTTGACAGGCACGTGTATGGCCCTTCTGTAATCGTAGCTGAGTGCCCAGTCCTGCCGTCTGCTATGTGCGCTCCTTGATAAAGAAACAAGAGGGCACGCACACTTTATCAAGCCTTTTAACTCTGCGTTTGGTGAGGCTGAGTGTGTGGCACAAGGGAGCTTATCAGCTCTGCCAGGGCTTATGCAAACCGCGCTGCCAGGTCTGGAGAATAATTTTGCAATCCGTCAGAATTTCTGAAACTCTTGAGAAAAAGTGTGATAAGGTGGCACGTAATGAATGCCTCTCCCTCCTGCCCTAGAAGGCAAGTGGGTAATTACAGCCAGAGTCTCTCAAAACCTGTTTTTCTTACTCCGTTGCATGCATGCTCTTACTGCATCGCTGAGAGGTAGTGGGGCTTGCAGAGGAGCAGCATGCAGCTGGAGCAGCAAATGTAAATGGCATGCAAATAACTAGACTGTGGATGTGTCATCTCGGTCCCGCAAGCTGGAAACTGACACCTGAATCTCTTTCTAGATGAGTGGCATGTTCGAAACCTGGCTTGACAGCCTGGTGTCCGCTCTGCAGGAGAGGGAGAAGGATGCCAACGTGGTCGTGGTGGACTGGCTCTCTCTTGCCCACCAGCTCTACACCGATGCCGTGAACAACACGCAGATTGTTGGAAAAACCATAGCGAGGTTGCTTGACTGGTTACAGGTAGTGCAAGCTAAGAGCAGCCTCTGTTGTAATGCTTGGTGAGGGGCTGTTGCACAAGGCTGCTGAGCGTTCACTAGCAGGGCAGGCTGTGCTGTAACCCAGCCCAGGGCTTGGCCAGGTGATGGCTCATAGCTGCAGTGCTGCTGCCCTGCCTCCCTGGAGATGCTGCCTCGCAGCGTGCTGGGGTTGGTGGTGCTGAAGTGCAGTTCAGATTTGGGAGTGCTGCCTGAGCAATGTGGGCTCGGGTGTTGGGTGTTCAAAGCCAGCACTGGCCTGGCAGCAGGCGGGGGAAGAGGAGAGGTCCATGGTGCTGCACTTGGCACCTGAGGCCATGGCCAGGGCTGAGTCTGCTGGCAGCTCCCAGGGGAAAGTTTTATATTGATAAAGAAGTTTTATCTTGATAAAGAATATCATAATTGGGGCTGGAACATGGGTAAACCACCAGTGCCATCCAAACCGTTCCGCTTGTCTTGATGAAATACAAAACGAAGCGTGCTTATCTGCCCCCTCCCGCCAATCCCTTCTTGCAACTGGACTTTATACCCCTGCAGCACCAGATGCCATGAAAGAGAGGGGATCAAACTCCCATGTTTTCTTTTCCTTGCAGGAAAACCCCCTCTTCAAGCTTGAGAATGTCCACCTGATCGGGTACAGCCTGGGTGCCCACGTGGCTGGCTTTGCTGGTAACCACGTCCACGGCACTATAGGCAGAATTACAGGCAAGTGGCTTTTTAAGCAGTCTCTCCCCTGTCCTTCCTGGCAGTGAGTTTCCCCGAACAGGCTCGTTTCCTGTGTTGCTACAATGTTGTTTTGGTGTTATTCTTCCAGAAATGACAAATTTTCTGCTTGTGGCAGCAGTGGAAAGCACAGGTCTCCTCATATCAATTATAGCAAGGCTTCAGTGAAAAAACCTTACCCAGGACAAACTGGTTCTGGGTTTGTTTGAATTTAAATGTGGCTCCGAAACAAGTCCAGCTCAAGCTCTTACTATCCAAATGCTATTCCTCTGAGTGATAGTGTTTTTGTAATTATAGCTCATAAGCTAATGGAGGCGAGAGCTATTGGGTGCTGTTTGTCCCACAGGATATCTGATTAAAAAAAAGAAATCAACTCCAAACCCTCATTCTGGAAGTATCTGAAGAGTTTGCTTCCAGCTCCAGAGGAAAGCTGATTTCAACATGTGAGAACTTAGGGCATAGTACAAGGAGTTGCATTAAGGATTTACATGTGACACTGGCAGTTAGAATTCCACATAGCCTAGCAATAAATGTATTTAATTAATCAGGGGAAAAAAAAATCACCTAACAGTCAAGTTGTAGAAATGCTCTGGAGTGCAGCTTCTGGTTGGGGGTGAGGCTCAGGGGTAAACAGAACATCCCAAACCCATCATGGGATCTCAGATGAAGGTAATTCTTGGCTGCTGCTTTGTGTTAGTCCCTCCATATCTGCAGTCTGAAAACAGACTAAATGTCACTGAGGCAGCTTTGGCTGCCAGCTGTCCCTCTTCTGGTGTTTGGAGCTGCCTCTTGAACCATCTCTTCACCATCCCCTGGTGAAGGCTCTTTGCTTCCAACAGCCAATCTCATCATGGTGCTGCTATTGGGTTGTGCTGCCCCAAAAGTGGAGTGGGACGTTTTTATTTATGCCAGTGAGCCCGTGGTGAAGACATCTTGAGGGACAGTACCAGCAATGAGGCTGGGACTGTCTGTGAATCAGCTGGTGAGGAGACCTGCCAGCAGCAGGCTTCTGGCTGTGCTCTGTATGAAACAGCCCAATTTCTTACCTGGCCCCTTGTGTTCTGTCTCTGACTCCAGGCTTGGATCCTGCTGGCCCCATGTTTGAAGGAGTGGACCCCAGCAGGCGCCTCTCCCCTGATGATGCCAACTTTGTGGATGTCCTTCACACCTACACCAGGGAAACACTGGGTGTTAGCATTGGGATCCAGATGCCTGTGGGCCACCTTGACATCTACCCCAATGGAGGAGACTTCCAGCCCGGCTGTGGCCTAAGTGATGTCTTGGGAGCCATTGCCTATGGGAGTAAGTTCTCTTTACCTTTTGCCTCTGGTCAGTGTAGACTTCTCACAAATAGGCTTGGGTTGATGGAAAGAAAACTATGTTTTCCTTCTAAACTGTCTGTACTTCTGGAGATAGATAGTTGCTAGAAACCATAAAGTCTTTTAACAATGAAGCACATTCTCACTCCAACACCTGATCCTAATCTGTGGTCTTATGCTGGGACTAGGATCCTCTTAAAGCTCTTCATGGGAGGGACTAAGTGATCATCTCCCACTAACCTCCTGAATTGCTGCTGTTGGAAAACTGTCCAAGTTTGGCCCCATTCAGCTCATGCTGGCTGCAGAAAGGCAGAGCTCACTTTATCTCATGGGCTGCTGGGGTGACAGCCGCTTAAACCAAGTGTGTCCCTTGCAACTCTGCCTCTCCAGCAATTGGTGAAGTTGTCAAGTGCGAGCACGAGCGGTCTGTGCACCTCTTCGTGGACTCCCTGGTGAACCAGGACAAGCAGAGCTTCGCCTTTCAGTGCACCGATTCCAGCCGCTTCAAGAAGGGCATCTGCCTGAGCTGCCGCAAGAACCGCTGCAACGGCATCGGCTACAACGCCCGCAGGATCCGCCACAAGAGGAACAGCAAGATGTACCTGAAAACCAGGGCTGACATGCCCTTCAAAGGTACGCTTCCCCTCCCAGGAGGAGCATGGCCTCCCCAAGCTGGTGTGGTGGAGGAGCAGCATCTCCCCAGAGCCCTGAAGCTCCAGCTGCTGTTCTGCTGGCGCCCGGCTGCACTGCTGTGCTGTGCCATCGCTCCTTCCTCCCTGTGGGATCCACCCACAACAACCCTCTGCCTTTTGAGCAGGGCTGCACTTCACCTGCTGTGCTTGCAGAACTCAGCCTCAGAGCAATGTAAGGTCTGGGAAGCCGTCCCCATGGTGGGCCTGCTGCTGTTGTTGTGTAAAAGTCAAATTTGTAATCAGTAAGGGCAGCAAAAAAGTGATCAGTGCTGTCTCACTAAAGGAAGGGTCTGGTCCTTGCTAGCCAACACTATTTCACACAGAGCAGTGCTGAGCAATGTTTTTTTCAGCGCAGCTGGTTCCATCTCTGGTCTCCCCTTTCTCTCCAGTCTACCACTACCAGATGAAAATGCACGTCTTCAGCTATAAGGACTTGGGAGAGGTTGATCCCACCTTCTCTGTCACCCTCCACGGCACCAATGGAGACTCTGAGCCCCTCTCTTTGGAAATGTAAGTAATCTGCCTTTTGTGTTTTTGCCTAAATATGAAGGCCACAGGGACTACACCGGATGGCAGAATTCTTCTTCCTCTGATAACACTGGTATTGCATCCCAGCCTAGCAGCCTCACTTCATCACCTTTCCAGAAAGCTTTTCATTCAGCAGCTTAATTCCAATTTATTACTGGATGAATTGAGAACACCTTAATGTGCTCAGTCCCATGTTAGCCTTCATGGCTCATTGCTTTTTTGTGTGTGGTTTTTTTTGGTCGGTTGGTTTGTTTTTGCCCTCCACCATTTGGACGTGGTCTGAAATGTCTCTGGAGGCACTACTGACCTTATTTAGCCTCTGCCAAAAGAAAGAGCAGGCACAAAACCCACCTTTAAGCCATGGAAGGATGGCCAAGCTAAGTGCACACTGCGTTGTGTGGAAGCAGCTATCTGAGCTCCTGTCAGTGTAATCAGTAATTAACTGGTGACAGTTGAATGTGCAGCACTCGATAAGCTGCAGGGGCTCTGTTAAACTCCTGGCATGGAACAAAGGAGCACCTGGCATCCTTCCATAAGGAAAAAACACCAAGTCTCTGCCTCTCTTCCAGGCTTGATCTAATTGGCCTAAATGCCACAAACACCTTCCTGGTCTATACTGAGGAGGACATGGGTGAACTTCTGAAAATAAAGCTCACCTGGGAGGGGACGTCTCAGTCGTGGTATGATCTGTGGAAAGAGCTGAGGAGCTACTGGTACAGGCCTGTGAATTCCACCCAGGAGCTCCACATCAGACGAATACGTGTGAAATCTGGGGAAACACAACAGAGGTAATAATTGTGCTAGGTTGCATGTGAACTGACCTGAAACTTCAACCCAGAGCCAAGGAAAAAAAGCCAGTGTTTTGAATGTAGCTGGTGTCCTGAACTGCCTTCCTTTTTGGTGTCAACAGCTATTGCTCCCTCATGGTGTAGGAGAGCAGGTTACTGTCCAGCACGAGGCTGCAAACAGGCTTTAAGCAAAACTGGTCACCACAGAGCAGATTTGGAGCTTTATTTTGATACTGTGGGGTCCACTGGGGACTAAGTTAACATGCTTCAGTGTGGTTTAGATTGTACTGGAAGCGTTAAAGTACTGAGCACCAAAAGTACTCAAAGATGGATGGTCATGGCTATTATTTACAGGCTTAATGTGCTGATTTGGTACCACCAGCAGGGCCTAAAACTGCAACCAGTCACATGGTGACACCAACCCCTCAAGCACTGCATTGCTCCTTCTGGGATCTGGCAGGGGGATTGGAACTAGGTGATTTTTAAGGGCCTTTCCAAACCCAACCCTTGGATCATAGAATTGACCATAGAATTCTAGTGGAAGGTTCTCTGCCATGGCAGGGATGATTTTTAAGGTCCCATCCCACCCAAACCATTCTCTGATTCTATGAGTCTCTGCAAACAGAAAGTTACCTGAGCATCCAAAAATTGTTAAAGTTCCCAAGCATGTAGCACAGCACTCCCACAGCTTCTGTTAATGTTGTTCTGAAGGTAACCCAGATCTGTCAAAGAGCACTGACAATTTCCCACATTTCTGAGTGCTTTAAATAAGCATCACCTGTCATTTTGCATTCTGGCTTCTATGAAACATAGAGGTAGTAGGAGCAGAGACCCCCAGTTAAAATATTGAAGTAGGAAATAAAACAGCAACTCAAGGGGCTCATGGTGTATCAAGATGTTCTGGGGGATGGATGTCTAATCAAACAGCTTGTCCTAGAATAAGCTCCAGTCCGTATTACTTGCTAATTGTTATTCATGAAGGCAGCAAGTACCTTGACTTCTGTGTCCTCTCCTCCTAGGTTTGCTTTCTGTGTGGAGGACTCCCAGATAACCAGTATATCTCCTGGCAAAGAGCTCTGGTTTGTGAAGTGCACAGAGGAATGGCAGAAAAGGTATGGAAATCAGTCAAAAGAAATTCTGTATGATGGGATGAGTGGAACCTTCTCTTTGTTTTTTTAGACTCCTGATACCTCTTTTTCTTTCAAAAAAGATAATAAATCCTAGCCTAGGATTCACAGCTATCAGACTTAATTTTCATGTATGCCATATCTATTGCTAAGTAGGTGATATTATTCTCCCTTTTGACCTTGAATTGTCATCTTGTACCTTTACATGTTTACTGCCAAATGGGTGTATCACAGTCCTTGCTCCTAATTGTGGTAGGTGCTAAAGTGAGGTGCCACCAATGCCCCAGATCTGTGCAACAGTGGAAAGGTAACTAAGAGTCATTTATTAAATGCCCTGTAAAACAGGGGGAGAAGTGCAGGGCATTTCCTCAAAGTCTGGTGGAAGACCTTGAGCAGCCAAGAAATCACTTGGTTAAAGTTTGAGCTCTGCTGCATGAGGAAGACTCAGGTGAGGACTTGCCATGGTGTTACAGCCCTGACTCCTACAGCTTCACCTCCAGGCCTTGCTGATCTCCTCTGGTTCAGGAGGGTGCTGGCTTTGCCACTGCCAAAGCAGCTCAGCCTTGCTTAACCTCTGAGGGACTTCCCAGACACACAGAACAGTCCCCAGAGCATGACTTCCAGAAAGTCTGGTCCCAGCAGTGACAACCTGATTGCCTCGGATGCCTCTGGTCATGTTTTGAATGAATTCCTCTTCATTTGACTAAATGATACTTTCCTTTGGATTCAGCCCAGCCTTTTGCCCTCTCTTAAATTTCAGCATGTAGACTTGGAGCTTTGTCACTTCTAACCCAGAGGACAAAGTGCTTGTTAGGGCTAGCAGAACCCCATGGAAGTCAAGCTTTGCACGGCTTTCCTGGGCAGCAGAGCTCAGCTCAGAAATGCGAGCTGGTCCCATTCCAGGTTTGGCAGAAACCAGCAAGCTGTGCTATGCACGGTAGCAAACAATTCTGTGAATGAAACCCCTGTGCAAGAACTTGTTGCTCTGCCACAAGTCTCGAAAGATCCAGTAAACATTCCTGCAGGTACAATAAAAGGCTGTTTTGATATGCTACTTGGTAACCCCCATAAAACTGAATTGCTGGCAGATGTGCCCTTCCTGCTTTCTCGTGCAGTACAGCTTGTGCACGAGGCCGAGGAGCTGAGCTCAGCTCCAGCACACCATTTTTTTCTAGGAAATGATCCTTCCTTCCAGAAATCATGAGTGATTACTTGCTGTTCAGCTCTCTGTTTCTGCCAAGTCAGTGCAACATTATAGCTCCCTCCTTAGAGATTGAGCCTGCAAACATCTGTCCATCCCAAATGGAGCTGCACAGGCAGGGTCTAGCTCAAGCCCTGTAATTTCTGCTTGCAGCCTGCATAATGTCTGCTGCAGGCTCTCTCTGAGCAGCTACTAGGCAAAGTGCAGCTTTGGCAGAATAAAACACCAGCCTGTGCTGTCCAAACCTGTTCTTGGCATTCTGTGAGTTCTTAGAAATCCTTCATTACTCCTCTTAACTTCTGCATTTAACTAGGTGTCTTTTTTGCTCTCTGTTTTCCCCAGGTCTGTCTCAAATCTGCTTTGAAGGCTTCCCTAAAGACTCACAACCAAGCAACCTAGATGCATGAAGACCACGCAGGTGGCAAGATGCTCTGGGAGAAACCTGGCTTGGTAGCACTTAAAGAAACTTAAAGCCCTTCAGGACAAAACGTCTTGGATTGGATGCAAGAAACTGAGGAGCAATTGATGAACCATGGTCCTAGACCTAGAATAACTAAAACTCCATTTTCCCTTTCCCGAGGAGCCTGGTTTGTGCATTTAACCTTACCTTGACCTGTTACACACTGCATTTTTCCTTCCCTGCTCCCATTAACCAGGACTATGGATGAGATCTTCACAGACTGAGACCTCAGCAATGATCTTCTGGTCTTCCTGCCAGTGGAGTTGAGAAGAAAAATAATCACGCTAACTGCCCATCAGGCTGTGGGTGACAGAGCTGCCAAGAACAAATTAGCACCTGGGGTAGGGGTTACCATGGTCCTGTAGCACTGTGGGCTGTGGGAAGGTGAGACCAGCACAGGCCAGGTGTGTGGGGTTGCCCAGGGAAGGGCTGGGGATAAGCACAATGCCACTTAACTTCAAGTTGTCCTTTGCTTGCCTTAAAAATAATCCGTTCCAGTACTGAAGTGTCCATTTGCCTGACACATGGCCTGACAGGATGGCAGAGCTCTGTCCTCCCCATGCCTGGGGCAGGACACGGTGCAGGTGGTGGTGGCAGCTACTCCTCACTGCTGGTCAGTGTCTGCAGTGGGGCTGTCCAGTCCCACGTGGGGATCCCTTTTTAAGGGGCAAAGAGAAGCTGCCCTTGTTCTGACCACAGGGATGGAGGAAGGCAATGCACCGTGCTGCCTCAGGAGAGCTTTGCACCACTCCTTTTAACCTCTGAGAACGTGCTCCCCTCTGCTCAGAAGCTGTTGTAGTGCCAATGCATAATTAAGACCTTATTTTTGAGTGCCAAACATCCTGCCCTCAATTATCACCACACCCCAGTTGGATTCCCTGGTCCCAGGTGATCTTGGCTTGGCTTTGGGTTGGACAGACTCTGCAGCTGTCCTGTTTGCTACAGCAGAGTGGACCTTGTCAGTTGGTGAAATAGGTTTTGTTTTGGTTGCTTGCTTTTTTCTTTTTTTTTCTCTTTTTTTTTCCCTTTCTGGAAGGAGAATTGGTATAACAACCCTTGAGCTTTTGGCATGCAGAAAGGCAATCTCAAAAATGGTGATGCCAGGTGGTGCACTGAGTTCTGAAGTCTTAGCAAGTCCTTCTGAGGCCTGCAAATCTCTTCAGTTTTTGTAGAGCTTCACTCCAACCAAAGCAAGCACATTTGGGGATATTTTTTTCATGGTTTTATGCAAAGACTTCGAAAACGGAAGCCTTTGGTAAGTATCTGTGAGTTGTTGCCACGCCATACTTAGAGAAGTTTCAAAGCCCTATTTGTATATTGTGGTTTTTGTATGACTTAAAACATAATTTATTTCTCATATTGTATATATGTAAAATTTAAAACATTTTGGTTTTGCGTAACAGTTTTTATGAGCCTTGAGATCAAAAATAAAGGGCTTTGTAAAAATCAGTGAAGCCTTGTCATTGATCACAGAATCATTTAGGTTGGAAAGACCCTCCAAGGACACCGAGTCCTACCTTGCCCCCAGCACTGCCATGGCCACCATGATCCCTGTCCCCAAGTGCCACATCCACACTCCTCCAGGCATGAGGATTCCACCACTGCCTTGGGCAGCTGTCCCAGGGCAAAACAACCCTTTCCATAAAATTTTCCCTAATTTCTAGCTTAAACCTCCCCTGGCCCAGCCTGAGGCTGTTCCCTCTCCTCCTGTCCCTGTTCCCTGGGAGCAGAGCCCGACCCCCCCGGCTGTCCCCTCCTGGCAGGGAGTTGTGCAGAGCAATCTACCAAAAGCTTTGACATTCCTTGCCAGAACAGCTATGATGGTCTTGTTCCTCCCTGCAGGTCCCTGAGACCTTCAGCCAGGTACAGCACCCTCCCTCCACTTCCCAACTCCTCTGTGTGGACAAGGCCAAGCCGTTCTCTCTGTGCTCCCACCAACGAGGGCCTTCAGGAATGGGGCATAGTCCCTCTGGATCTACAGCTGCTCTGCAGAGATGCCCCCCATAAAATACTAGGAGAGGGGGGACACAGAGATGCTGCCAGGGCTGGAGCCCCTCTGCTCTGGAGCCAGCCTGGCACAGCTGGGGCTGCTCCCCTGCACAAGAGAAGGCTGCAGGGACACCTGAGAGCCCCTGCCAGGGCCTGCAGGGGCTCCAGGAGAGCTGCCCAGGGACTGGGGACAAGGCCTGCAGGGACAGCACACAGGCCATGGCTGCACTGCCACAGGGCAGGCACAGATTTTGGGATGTTGGGCAGGAATTGGTGGCTGGGAGGGTGGGCAGGCCCTGGCCCAGGGTGCCCAGAGCAGCTGTGGCTGCCCCTGGATCCCTGGCAGTGCCCAAGGCCAGGCTGGACGGGGCTTGGAGCAGCCTGGGACAGTGGAAGGTGTCCCTGCCCATGGCAGGGGGTGACACTGGATGGACTTCAAGGTCCCTTCCAACCCAAACTCTTCTGTGGTTACAGGGTTATTTCCATTTTAGCTCAGCAGTGAGGACATTATTTCAACAGTACCAGTACCATCATCTTTGTTTTCAGAGGAGTGAATATCAGAAAATCAAAATCCTTCTCCAGTTTGCAGTAGAGGGATGTTCTGACTGCCCCTTCCCCACAGTGACCACAAGCCACATTCAGCAGGGAGCTCTACCAAAACCATAAACCTTCCCTTAACATGCTGCTTTCTTTCAGACATGGCAATGCCACTACTGCTTTTGGCTAGGGAAAAGCAGGATTTTGTGTTACTTTCTGTGGTTGCAGTGAGCACAGTGTACTCTGGAAAGACCATTGCTGCTGTGCCAGGCTAGTCAGGACAAGTTCAAACTCCCTCTCTTCCTTTGATTTCTTGCATTAATTATTATTTTTTTTCTATTAAATGTCACTTATATTTTGCCTGAAATGCTTCACCTTTGCCTGACTTCACTAAGAAACCCACTGGTGAATACTTCTAAGAAAACTTACCCAAATCTAATCACTAACTGAGTTTTCCCTGCTTTTCCCAGCAGCCACACCACCGAATTTAAAGGGAAGCCTCTTATTGTGCTCTGCCTGTGCCTGACACAAATTGATGGCACAAATCCAGCAGCAGCAGAAGGACTTTGCAAACAGAGTAAATACCTCTGAGCTGAGGAAGATTTGCATGAAATTACTTAGTTAACCTTTCCCTATGGAAAGCTCAGCAATGCCTGTCTGCAAGGAAAACTACCTCGGTGGATTTGGCAGAGAGCTATTTGGTGCTTGTAGGGCCCCTGATTATCCTGCACCCCAGAGCTGGAGCTGTTTTCTGATGTGTTCCTGTGGGGCTCCCTTCCACCCTCTGCAAAGAGTGTGTGGGGGGAACTAACACCAGAAGTCGTTCCAGATATCTGGAACTCATTTTTTGGCTGCTACCCCGTGGACACAGCTGCAGCACAAGGGCTGGTGCCTCTTGCAGGGTGAGTCTCCTGCAAGGTAGCAGGAGCTGGCCTCTAAAGGAAAAGGGGGAAGAATACAAGCTCACAAGAGAGGAGAAACAGACTGCAGCTCTTTCACATCTGTGGGCACCCTCTTCAGGTGTCTGACCCTTCACAGAGCAAATGTTAACTCCCAAATGCATCTCTCCTGCTGCTCCACACCTTGAGCGATCACACCTGCTGGCATACCCAGATGCATCCCTGCATGGCTCCCCTCAGTGGGAGCTCAGCTGTGCATTAGACAAGTGAGAAAACAAAGAGAAGATGGTATTTTTTTAAAGTTTCCAATTAATTTAGATTTTTTAAAAAGTCTCTAAGGAATTTGTGCCTGGCAGAGCAGACACATCCCAAATCTGTGCCAGGCAGGGCTGCTGAGGCTGGACAACTGTGCCCCCAGCTGCCTGGCACCCCTCCCCCAGGTTTCCTTGGGGTCACTTTTTCACAGCCACTGCATTCAGCCCCAAGGGTTAGGTCCCCACAAAGGTCAGGCTGTTCTCTGAGGAACAATAGGACCGGCATGGGGAATGCTTTATAACCCTCCTCAACCCCCACCCAGGGCTGCCCCAGCCTCATAAGCAGCAGGAACTCAGCACTGTTTCACCAATTACCATAAAATCAGAGCGCCATAGAATCCCAAAATGCTTTGGGTTGGGAGTTTAAATTCCAGCCCATTCTAACCCCCTGCCACTGGAGGCATTTCTAGAGACAGCTTCCACCGTCCCAGGCTGCTCCAAGCCCTGTCCAGCCTGGTCTTGGGCACTGCCAGGGATCCAGGGGCAGCCACAGCTGCTCTGGGCACCCTGGGCCAGGGTCTGCCCGCCCTCCCAGCCACCAATTCCTGCCCAACATCCCAAAATGTGTGCCTGCCCTGTGGCAGTGCAGCCATGGCCTGTGTGCTGTCCCTGCAGGCCTTGTCCCCAGTCCCCAGGCCCTGGCAGGGGCTCCATGAGAGCTAGAGAGGAACCTGGGACAAGCCCAGCTTGCCAAACACATCCCAGCATCCCACTTTGGAGGTGATTTGAACATAAAGTCTACTTGGAATGTGCTGCTCTCTCATTCCCCAGTGTAGTATCTCCCTTTGGCAGTGCTCTGAGGTGTCTTAGCAGATGTCCCCAGTGCAGGTGGTGCCAGCTATCTCTCCCAAGCTCCAAAATCTGGGCACAAAAGATCTGTTTGGGATGAAACAGACCAATCCATCCTTCCAAGAACGAGGACAGCACGTTTTCAGCTGTCTTCCCAAACTGAAACAATGGCCTAGCCTCACTCCAACAAGTAAAACTTTCCAGTGTTCCCCAAGAGCAGCCTCACCGAGAGATGGCTGTGACAGTCCAGGAAACCCAAGATCTTTCTCCTCTGCCTGTGCAAATGAGTTGTAATTTTATGCCTGTTCTGATGCTGGCATTCCAACATAAATTATACAGCTCATTGCCTTCCCAGCAGTCCCATCCAGCCCAGCAGAAAACAAGGGCCTGGCAACTTCTGCACATTGGTGCAAAGGCATCAGAGACCTCACACTGCCCAGAGGGATGGGTAAAGCAGCTCGGCCCAGAACCAACCCAGGTTTAAAACTAAAGATCAGATCATTTCTATTGCTTGATTATTGTTTTTTCCTATCTCAGTCCTCTCTGTTACAGGTTGTTCTGCTGCTGTTTCACAAAGGTTCAGGACATTCGTGGCAATCTGTATAAAGAAGACACATAGTGCAAACGTTCAGAATCCTCTTCTTCTGGCCTGACTTGTAAAAAATGAGGAAAATGGATCAGTAAAACAAGGCTTTCCAGGCCATGTTGTTCCACCTCTCCTCATTCTGCAAACAGGCAAACCAGCTCAGACAAAGTTAAGAAATGACACAAGACTTGGACAAAACATTAATGCAAATATGGTTGATATTTTCCCCCCTCCTTTCCATGTGGCTTTCCATATCTTATTTTGGCTGACAACAGACATATCCTACAAAGTTATGAAGAGAAAGGCCACACCAGCTCAGCTGGAGCTAGACAAGTGTACTGAAACAATTGTAGTTCCACGCCCTAAAACCTGCAGATGTTAATGAGAAGAAGATCCTTGCTCTGCTCTCTCTGTAAAACAGCCAGACCTGTAACTGAACAACCCATCAAACACTGCATGGAAAAGCTGGACCACATTTTATATATGCACAGCAATGGAGGGAATACCCAATGATCTCAAAATCAGTTGGGTTGTAAAGCTTAAAATTTATCTCTAAATTTCAGACTAGTGGATCTGGGTGGTTTGCGGATGACTAAGTTTGTTCAAAAACCTCACTGCTCTACTTGCAGGTAGTTTATTAGTTTTGTCTTTTTGCTAAGAAAAAAGAATGCATTTAACTGTAACAAAATTGACTGCTAGCAGGATAAGATTAACAGGTTTACCTTAAAAATTTAAAGTTTGCCTTAAAAGCACTCCAGGAGTCAGTGAGAGAGAGAAAACCCAGATGCCTTCACCTTGGCTAACAGCTCTGCACATGAACCAGAACTGTTCATGGTCTTCTGAACAGTTTTCATGAAAAAAAAAAATTGAGTTTATTTTGCTTATAGGAGTTTTCTTCTACTAGTCCAGCCTGGTCTAATATGGTCTAATTCACATTAGGTTAATGAAGGTAAGTGAAGGTAAATCAAAATGAATGAAACTGAAAATTTACAGGGAGAGAATGCACATGGAGATGCTGCCAGGGCTGGAGCCCCTCTGCTCTGGAGCCAGCCTGGCACAGCTGGGGCTGCTCCCCTGCACAAGAGAAGGCTGCAGGGACACCTGAGAGCCCCTGCCAGGGCCTGCAGGGGCTCCAGGAGAGCTGCCCAGGCACTGGGGACAAGGCCTGCAGGGACAGCACACAGGCCATGGCTGCACTGCCACAGGGCAGGCACACATTTTGGGATGTTGGGCAGGAATTGGTGGCTGGGAGGGTGGGCAGGCCCTGGCCCAGGGTGCCCAGAGCAGCTGTGGCTGCCCCTGGATCCCTGGCAGTGCCCAAGGCCAGGCTGGACGGGGCTTGGAGCAGCCTGGGACAGTGGAAGGTGTCCCTGCCCATGGCAGGGGGTGGCGCTGGATGAGTTTTAGTGTCTCTTCCCACCCAAACCATTCCATGGTTCTGTAACTCCCAAAGGCTGCCATGGGGGAGCATCCATCCCCAGGAGAGCAGCAACACACTTACGCACCGGACATCTTTCCCTTGATGACTTCTGTGACCAGAGCCAAGGCTGCAGAAGCAGGGACGTGACAGCTTTTCTGGGAGTTGTGTCTGCAGAGCTTCCTCCTTGTCTCGGGAGCACGGAGCAGCCGCTGTCTCGGGGTCACTCAGTGGGGCACTGCCCGGCAGGACCTCAGCTCAGGGCACACACGAGTGCTCCAGCTGGGCCTCCTTTGACATCTGAAGGAGTTTTCCCTTGGACCTCAGCAGATGTGAGATGCTATTCCAGGAAGGGGAAGGAAGCCGAGCTGAAACGCCCAGGTGAGGAGCATGCTCTGCGCTGTGCAAGGCTGGTTAAAAGAGGCATAAATTTAGAGAAATTAAAACTCTGTACAAGTTTTTGTCCTGCTCATCATCCTCAGTTATTGACCTAAATTCCTGTCTGGAGTCCAAGTCACACGCTGCCTCCACGCCAGCTCCAGTAACAACATCAAAGCTGACCTAGACTGATCCTGTGTTCTGGCCAACAGCTACTTAACAGGACACGATGAACTTCAGATCCAGTTCATCTTTACAGGGATGAGCCAAAGGAGGCTCTCATTTTTCAGTCTGATCCAAAGATCCTCGGTTAACTTTTGCTGCCCTGTAATGGTGCTCTTTAAAGTTGCTTGCCCTTTCCAACTGGAAGACCATAAAAAATAAGTGGAGAAAACCTGATAGCTAGATGGGCAAAGCAACAAATCTGATTGTGCACATGAAATGCTGCCAAACAATCAAGAAAAAAATGAAGAAAGGGAAAGACTAAAGACAGCGTCTTCTTTTCTTTTAGCTCTATTACAAGTGATTAAGCAGTGAGGGGAAGCACGGACAAAACCAGATAGTCATAGGATATTTAAATAAATGATGTTTTCTTAAGATAATAATCACTAATACTGGAAATAACTGGAAAGGCAACCAGGAAAAAATTTTCCACTCATTTACACTAGAATTGAATGTTAAAGAAACCCCAAACATTCTAATGACGACTGTTTTGATTCAAGTCATACCCTCTACATATCACTGGAGCCAAAGCCATGCTCTGCGCTTCATCATTAATGTCCTCAAACCACTTAGAAGACAGATGTTTTTAGATAGTACTGCATAATCATTATCTGTGAAAGAAAACCTGCATCCATGTTTTCCATTTGCATCCTTGGATTGGCTCCCATCCATGATCCACTCCCTCTCCCCAGGAGATTCATACCCATGTTCCTCATTGCTTTTTCCTACAAGTTTTAGAAGAATCGGCCCTGTCAACTGCAGCCTAATTTAGAGAATCAGTGAGCTCATGTTTGTCCTCCAAAGGATCAATATCTGCACCCAAATAGGAACTACTCCTCTCAGGCGAGACCCCACCTGTAACACACCCCAGGTAAGATGAACAATGACATTGCCTTAGGAAGCTGATGGTCTTCCTGTGCCCCTGCAGCTCCGGGGTCATGCATCAAAGCAGCTGAGATGAGGAAAATAATTTTAGATGTTTTTTTGTTAAACAGGGATAGAGAAGAACCTGTTCCAGCCAGGCCACCATCTGGCCCCTGCCTTTAACCTTTGTGTTAAAGGCACATTAAAAGGCCTTTAACTTTTTTGTTAAAGGGGGATGCTGGAAGAGATGCAGCCCCTGTGCAGAGGCACTCAGAGCTCCATCTCCACCGGCATCCTCTCCTCAGACCTCTCAGGAGAAACACATCTGGCAGCCCCCTTCACCTGTATCTCACAAAGGAAACTCTCTCTGCGGAGTTCCAGAGGGAAGTGTAAGGCCCAGGTGGGCAGAGCACACACATGCCTTGATGTCCCTCTGGGCTGGGACGTGCTGCTGCTGGCCCACAGAGGTCACCTGTGAACCCAGCACAACAAAAACCCTCCAGGCAGTGTGGAAGTTCCCACCAGGAGCTGTGAAAACAGCAGCAGGCATGGTGCGCCCAGCCACGCTGGAGGCCACCAGAAGTCCAGGCTTTTTGCCAAGGATCAACCCTCCTGTCGCTGGAAGATGCTGCAGGAGCCAAACAACACATTCCAAACCTCAAAGGAATCTACAGGGCTCCCTCCTTGATATCTTAATGGATCCTGTCTTGAGCATCCTGAAGAAGCAGTTGCTACTTATAGCAGGACCAGCCATTCCTGGGATGTTGCTGAGTTAGGCTGGGATTGCAGTGCTGGCTCCTGTTCTCTGCTGTCATATCAGCAGCTTGGAAGGGTTTACCTTCCCAAGGTACATCCCGTGTTCTTCTGAGCCACCATCACTTGGTGGATATGATCATATCGAGCCCTTATCTAAATTTGTGGTCAGTTTGGGAATTTAGGTTGGAGGACCATGTCCTCCCCCAGCTCGGTGGGATATGCAGTGGCTGTACTGCAGCAGGGCTGTGGTCTCTGATCACTCCATCAATCTGATTTTTCTCTAAAGCCAGGATGAAGCCATCTGCAACACCAGCTCTGCACCTGGCCAGAGAGGTGGAACAGCTGCTCACTGCCAGGGGTGAGCTGGGGCTGATTTACACTTTGGGAGATGGGCACACCAGCAAGCCTGTTTGTTTGTAAACCAAGGATGATTTATTCCTCTTAGTAATTCAGTGTCCTTTGGAAGGCACACGATGTCAGCCCCATTCAGCAGTCCTTTTATTTATTATTTTATTCCTGCATAATCCATGCTGCAGACAAAGAGGCACATTGTTCTGCTCTGGCTTACAAACAAAATCTGTTGTTTTATAAATTCCTGCTGTGTTGTTTTCTCCCAGTTTTGCTGGATCAGCTTTTAACTTCCATTTAGAAAAAAAAAAGGTATTATTTTAAAAAGCAGCAAAATTTGTTTTGTAATCCAACTGAGTTACCTCCTTTTGCAGTTTCAGCAGCATTTTGCTGCTACAATGGCCAGGAGGCTGTTTGTGCCAGCCTATCCAGACTGCCTTGCCTAAAACACCCCATCCTGTAGTTTTAATGGGACTGGGCTCAAGAAACAAAGCAAAGGACCAAGTCCAAGCTTTGGCATGTACTGATGTCATTTTTCATCCTGCTTTCAAGGGAAAAAAGTTGTAGAATTACAGAATGGTTTGGGTTGGAAGGGACCTTAAAAATTATCTTATTCTCGCCCCTTGCCATAGTCAGGGACACCTTCCACTATCCCAGGTTGCTCCAAGCCCTGTCCAACCTGGCCTTGGACATGTCTAAGGATGGAGCAGCCACAGCTGCCCTGTTTAACCTCAGGGCCTCACCACCCTCACAGCCAGGAATTCCTTCCCAATATCCCATCTAACCCCACCCTCTGGCACTGGGAATCCTTTCCTCCCTGACCTGTCTGTTCAGACCCTTATACAAAGTCCCTCTCCAGTGCTTTTGTAGTCCAAATATACATTTGCTAAGATACAGCAGTTGGGGCCCACAAGATTGCAGATTTTAGGAGGTGTTACCTTGAATTTTGTGAACTGATCCACTGCCCCATGGCAGAAAGTTCTGGGGAAAGTCAAAAGACCCAACAAAAAACTCCTAGTGCTTGTTAAACAGTAGATGATCTCTGCACCCATTGCAGTGAGAGCTGACCTATTGCAAAATGCACACCAAACATCCCTCTCCTGGCCACTGGACTCTTGTTGCCTCTTCAGGGTCTCTGGAGACGATGCTGAAGCAATCCCAGCTCAGTATTGTTTTGACTGGGTGGCTGACCACAAGAAGGGTCGCTGGCTATAGCACAGAACTGGAAAGTAGATCCAAGGTTGGTCATCAACACTGGTACCCAAGCACAACTCAAAGGTCACAGACTGGCATGGAGAGAACCAATGCTCTTTAAACCCCTTGGAAATCTGCTGAAAGCAGACCATGAGGTTGCTGGTCTTTGTTCCTGCAGGATGATTGAAGCCTACCCAGGTCCTGAGGCCAGAAATCCCTCAACAGCATCCCCATAGCTCACTGTGCTCACTGCACCTGCTGCCCACAAGGACAGGTGAAACTGCTCCAGGTTTGGACATCAGCTTCTTGCTGACGTGTGAGAGGTCGGAAAGGTCATTATCAGCTGCCCAGCCTGGCTGAAGATGGTTTTCAGTGGTGAAATCTATTTAAAGACAAACATTTATTCTGGCTCCATCTTGATCTTGTGGTTTTTCTTTCAAGTGAAAGGCTGGCGGGTCTGAGACAATCCTATTGCAGATGCACAGCAAACTCAGGACAGTTGCAAAGCATATGAAAGCTCCCAAGGGATGTCTTATGATGTGCCAAGAGTGACCCCAGCCACCCATGTGGCAATCCTGCACACAGCTGAGTGCAAGTTAGAATAAGAAGAAAGGCCCCTCAACTCCATGCAAAATGCCAAGGATCAGCATTGATCAAGGGTGAAGAAAGGGGCATGCTTATAATGGCAACTTTTTTCAACAGTAGGAGAACATTGTCAGAGCTCCCACCTCAGTGGAATCTGCAGAATAAACAGTCCCTGATGCTGGGTCACCAAGGGCTGGCTTTAAATTCCCTGTTTCTGGGCAAAATCTTGTCCCCAGTGTGTTCCTTGCACTCTCAAGGGAGCACACCAGAAATCTGCTGATGACCCTCATTAGTCCTGTAAAGCTGCAGGACAGCCTCCCACCAGTCACTGCAGTAAAACCAATTTGTTCCACTCATCCATGACCAGACTTCTCGGGCAACAGCCCAGGGATGTGATCCCCAAGCTCCAGAAGCCTGGTGGTGCTGGGGAGCATCAGACTGGAGGGGCCATTTGCTGCCAGATGGCAAAGAGAAGCCAAAAATAAGTGACAGACTAACTAGGGACAGAGCAGCTCTCCACAGACCATTGGTGCTCCTGAACTGTCCTCGGAGCACCAGCAGCATTGAAAAATAAGCAAGGAAATTTCCAGCTCAACCACTTCCTAATCACATAAAATTGGGAGGACATAAAAAGGGAGGACAAAGACATAAAAAAACCCGGAAACTCTGAAATGAGAGCTTGTAAAACCACAGATAAAATGCTTTTCTCTGGCCATGACAGTACCACTAGAGTGGTACTATAATTGGTGCAGTTCAGAACTTCTAAGGTGTTTGTGTGACCAAGGAGGAAGGGATCAGACTGGGCTCCTCTGGGCTGTTCAGAGGGCACACCCTGCCTGTCCCTTGATGACATCCCCTTTGTATTCATCTTTTGCTGCTATTGTGTCCCTTATTCTTCAAAACTCTCAGAAAACAAGTCTAAGGTGATAATACTCCCAGCACAAAGGCCTGTTCTACAGCAGAGGAGAGCATACCATACCTAAACCCGAGCCCCCAGACCAGTTCTCCAGCATGTTTGCAAGAGCTGCTGCTAGAACTCAGCATTTTATGGACTTTGTGGTGGATGCTTTCCCTTCTCAAGGGACAAGAAACACAGGTTTTGCACAGGGCT